AGATATTGCAGGAGGATTATTATTGAGTGTATTGGCTACGAGTTCTACCTTGCTTGATCATTATTTACGTCATATCAATGAGGGATTTGCAGTTGGGCTTACGTCAGTTTTAATCATTGTAAGTGTGGTTCATCATTGTGGTTTTCTTATTGAGTTTGATAAATTTGATTTAGAAAGTTTTGTTATATATTAATTTTTTATAATTACCATTCATGCATTTTTGGTATTTCATCTAATTCCAAGTTGTAGTTACAGATCTGTGAATATCTTCTATTGTATTGACTGCTTAGGAATCATATAACTGATATTTAGCTTATGATCATCAAAATTGTATATCTCATCTAATTCGGTATTAGTTAAACCTGTAATCAGGATCTCCTCCTTTTAGTTCTGATATTAACTTGTTATTAACCATTGATTATTGAGATCTGGAGTTGACACACATACTAGTTCTAAAAGAGTTTTATTTTTGGGAAGTTTGTGGCTGAGATTTATTTTCAGTTCTATGAATTAAAAGAGCAGGACGCAGTGCATGTGACTCCTCCCAATACAGCATATGAATATGTTAGCATCAAATATTAAGTGGCAGATTAGATATTTCTGTGGAACATACTTTTATCTTATGAATAACCTTCTCTCAACAATTTATCATATTCTAAATATTTGAGCAATGTTCAGTTCCGTAATTGAATGCCTTGAATGCTTCAATTGTTTATAGTGCATTTTTCACATAATGGTTCAATATATGTAATCTGACATCTCTTTGTTCTCCAGAGACAAAAGTATAATGCCTGAGTGTATCTTCCCATCAATGAAGTTGTTTGTATTTTATATTTTCTTTGTCGTTTTATTTACTTTTAAATCTCAACCGAGAGTAAAATACCCTGAGCATGAACTTGTGATTTCATAGGTGTAGCAGTTTTGCCCATCAGCAAATGGTAAAAGTTGATATTGCAGTTAGGTTATCCTAATAGGCGGCAACATGTTGCAGGAAGAGGATCTGGATAAGAAGAGTGGTTTGTGTTCCTTAGATACTTGGACAAATTAGGGAATGGAGAACATGAGCTCCATGTATAGTCCAATCGGGCTTAGGTTGTTCATCTTTGAAGTTTAATATCCAGTTGAATCTTTCACTCCCATGTTGAAACTGATTCAAACAGAAATTAGGTGGTTCTTTTATGAAGTTCAGTAATTCTGACACATTGGAGAGTATTCTTTTTTATTTGACTGGAAATTCTTTGATTGCTGTTGTCTGATTTCTGTATTCTATCCTTAAACCTTATTGTTTTGGGAATCCTTTTAAGGCTACAATAGTCTAGTTTTTTACAAATTGTTAAACTACAACACCTCTTGGTTTAAAGATTAATTCACCCAGTGAATTCCACGTAGCAATAGAATTCTCTCCAGCATCATCACAAAGGCACACATGAACAAATACTGGGCATTCTTTACACAAAGCACAATAAGCCTGTTGCAGAAGTTCAACTTCAGCAATTTGTTCTGACCCTCAAGTCCTTTCACTCACACACACACACAAAATAAAAATGGGCACATTCCTGGTTATCTTTTATTTATACATGATAGCTGCACCACTAGACTTAAATTTTTAGATCTAATTTCAAACAAGGCCTTCTTCATACAAAATCTGTCAGATTTTTCAGGTTGCCAGATCACCTTATTATCCCTTTGTTCAATTATGCACAACCTGGCTTTCTCCCATAAATCAACTACTTATCATAGCAGTATTATATACCATATCAGTTTCTTTGGTCAACTGTGTGCTAATTCATCAAACTAGCTCCTGTCATCCAATTGTTAGACTAGAAAAGGATAATTTTATCATTCTTAGATAAATATCAAACAGTTTACAATAGTCCACATTTCTTTTCCCATTCCCTTGCTGAATACGAAACTGTTTGTCCACACTTTTCAAACTAAAAAACTTCCTACATGATCAGGAGCAATCATGAAATGCCACAATACTATGTTGAGTAAATCATGCACATTTCCCCATGCATCATGCAGCAGTTTGTGTTGAATTATAAGTTCTTCATATTGGCTGCTTACATATTGGTTATAATTGTGAATAATGATGCTCTTTAAATCTACTATCTCAGGTCGGTTCGATTATAGAATTGAGAAGATCTTATCAGGCATATAATGTGATGCCAGCCTTGAGCAAGGTTTTAAGGAGATATGGTGTATAGTATACATACATCACAATGAGGTAACTCCCTTGTGTTACTATATCTTCAAGAGATTTCTGTACTCAGAATTCATGTTAATATTTTACTGCCTACATGATCAGTAAACAACAGTTGTAGCGGTATTGTGTGACTACACGATCTCTGCCAATGGAGGTACAGTGCAAGAGGTCACGTTCTCACGAATGTAGAAGCTCTGATTGTGATTGGTAGCATCTACTATTGACATGCAAAAAACCACCGTTAGATCTCCAGAAACCCAGAGTTAAAAATGTGGGTTGACAAGATGGAACATTTAGTGAAGATATTTAGCGCATAATGACTAACCCTATCGTATCATCATATGATAAAAAACCGGAGATCGTAGTCGTCGTTTGTTGTTGTTTGTGTTTTGTCCACTGCTTCTTCAGCAATACTTGTGCTCGATGAGTATGCAATGTGTTCTCGCTGAAGGATATTAAAAAGTATGGTGGCTCCCATCTGGTGAGTTCTCTACGGGACCATATACAGGATTGAGTCTTATTCAGTATATTTGTTTTCACAGGAAAACTTAAAGAGGACAGCATGAGTTTTGGATTTAAATTAATAGTCAACGAACGCTTAGATTTCAAGTGTTTTGTCTCCCATTTCTTTACAAGAGAAATACCACTGCGTTCGATAAATAGGTAGTCTTTCATGCACCCCATCAAGTTGTGCTTTCCAGCATCATATTGAGTTGAGTACCAGTATCTCTTCTCATGTATGTCCCAAGCTCGATTAATGATTGTAAACTACCATGTCATGTTAAATAACAATAGAAAACATAGAGATTCGAATTTTCAGACACGCACTCTTCTTATGATTCATGTGGAGATTAGTGTTGTTAAACCGTTCATGTCTTGCATTAAGATTCAGATTGGGATCAAGTTGGTTCCAGAGACATGTGAAGAGGATTCGGAGTCAACCTTGTTTTAAATGCAAATCTATTACATTACAAGCGAAGCGTGATGTTGGGAGATAAATGGATTTGGCAAAAGATCTTGAATGTATTCAATAAAATATCGTACTAAAATTATGGCACGACATACTCGATAAATGTTCATTTGATGTTAAGAACGTAACTCTATAGCTTTTTAGAACATAACTCTAAAATTATGTCGGGGCATACTAAAAGTATAATGCAAAAGCCACTTTTAGAACATAACCCCTATAGCTTTTTGGAACATTATATGTATTGTTCGATTATAAATGAGATCATGAAGTCATACGCTAAAGCAAGGGATAGGGAGTAATATTTTATCGACTCAACTTTCTAATAATATCATGCTATTTGTTTTGTGGTGTTGGCCCTATGTGTCATATGATGTAATTGTCGAGATTATCGATTAGGTATCGGTAAAGATAGAATAATATATTAATAATCATCGATATGTTAAACCACCCGATCTATAATCCTATAACATTTGTACAAAATATCATAATCGGGATTACTGTGGCTTCGCAAAGCTTTATTCTTTATTTCATCAGTTAATATCGAACATTTTATGGATGTCTGCACGTGGCTTCCACTGAGGACAAGAGAATAACATCAATATCTAGGTTAACATACATCTACATGACATATGTACAAAATAAATTAAGTAGGATATATATATATCTACAAGAGATATTTTATCCGTAATATTATCATGTTTTGGAAGACACTTTTAAAGGTGTACAAAGTGTACTGATATGGAACCAAATTCCAATCATTATTTAATCATGTGGCACATTGAGAGATATAGCCTGCATGGACAATTGGAAAACAAGCCTCAACTTTATTCCAAGTGACATGAGCCATGAACTTTTTGGTGAAGCACAGGATAACAAGAACATAACAGATTTCTTTACATTTTCTTGATGAATAGTGTATACATATATATAATATATATATGGACTGACAGGAGTACAAAATTGAATATAAAGCAGAAGCTACTTTACATTTTCTTGGTTTAACAAGAAGCAATAGTAACCTAAAGCTTCTCCCTAATGGATTGACTATTAGCAATACCATCTTCTAATGGCTCTTAGATCAAAGACGCAACATGTGGGTGCATAACCAATAATAATCATGCTTGAGAAGCTTCCACAATGCATTTCTTATAAGGCATACATTGAATTGGGCCTCTTGCAGAAAGTGACCAGATAGAGCTTGGAATTTAGTCAAAAGAAGATCTTCGTAATCATATATATGCCCTCATCATTACATGCGCATATAATTTGGTTCTCAGTACTTGTATCATAAGGTCTCAATTGATATTACTCATTCAAAGGTTACTTACCACCAACCAAGTTTGGCCCTCCCATTTCCCAGGATACAATTGAATCACCTGAAGAAAGTTGGAAGCACCTCATACAGTAATTTCATAATCATCATCATCATCATCATATAGTAAACACCCAACAGAAGCAAGCAACAAAAGAATTGATAGTTATGCTTGATCTTTACTTCAGTCAAATTTCACTACCTCATTGATCACCTAACACGACTAAGTCGATCTTGATGCCAAGTCCTGGTTTAAAGATGTTTTATTTACTTGTGTTCGTGGCTGTTTGTGAGACAACTATCCAATACAGAATTCACAGATCCCATCTTTCAGTCAAGGATAATGTTTCCAATCATCTTGGTGAATTTAAGCCTCTCCTTTTCCTTTGAAGGATGATCAAGTGTGCAAATTAAGATGCTCGGGGCAAGAATTTTATATTTGATCACCTAAAGCGAGAGCCTCAGATTCTCTCCCAGCAACCATATGAATCATGACACTCCACTGATGAGCCATTACAAATACCGCTGCAGTTGCACCAAACCATCAGTGTGAGAACATTGCCATTCAACCGACATGGTTTCCACCTCAGTCCTTCCTCAGGTCTCGGAGGGCTCTGCACTGCATGCTTCCATTTGATCCAATTTGTTTGGTCGATAGCACAATGACTCTTCTGCTTTGCTGCGTTCAGGTGGCCGGTGATGATGCTTCCAAGGAGGCCAGCCCTCGACGCGCCAAGTGGTGGTACGCGACGTTCCACAACGTCACGGCGATGGTCGGCGCCGGCGTCCTCAGCTTGCCTTATGCCATGGCACACTTGGGATGGTCAGACATCGATGAGTTCTTGTTTCTGAAGGAGAACTAAAGCTAAGAACGTAGTCGGGTCTCGATGGTTGCAGGGGTCCTGGGACGCTGGCACTGGTGGTCTCCTGGTGCATCACCTTGTACACCCTGTGGCTGATGATCCAACTCCATGAGTGCGTGCCGGGGACTCGATTCGATCGGTATAGCGACCTCGGGCGGTACGCCTTCGGTCCCCGACTGGGGCTGTGGATCGTCGTCCCTCAGCAGTTGATCGTCCAGGTCGGCTGCGATACGGTGTACATGGTCACAGGCGGCAAGTGCCTGGAGAAGTTCATGGAGATCTTGTATCCCGAGAGCACAAAGCTGCACCAGTCCTACTGGATCTGCATCTTTGGCTCGATTCAGTTCTTCCTATCTCAGCTCCCCAACCTGAACTCGATTGCTGCTGTATCCTTAGCAGCAGCAGTCATGTCACTAAGGTAAAGGCATGATCCATCGAGGTCGATACTTACCCATTCTAATGGTTTTCTCCCTCCATTTCTGGGGTTGCAGTTACTCCACGATAACATGGGTGGCTTGCTTCGCTCGAGGCCCGGCGAGCGACGTAAGCTATGCGTACAAGATGACCACCGCATCTGATTCCATGTTCAGGGTGTTCAGCGCCCTGGGGCAGGTGGCGTTCGCCTACGCCGGCCACGGCGTGATCCTGGAAATCCAGGCGACCATCCCTTCCACGCCCACCAAGCCTTCGAGGATGCCCATGTGGAAGGGCACAGTCGTGGCCTACTTCATCACCGCGCTCTGCTACTTCCCGGTGGCCATGGCCGGATACTGGACCTTCGGCCAGGAGGTGGACGACAACGTGCTCATGGCACTCAAGCGTCCGCGGTGGCTCATCGCGGCGGCCAACCTCATGGTGGTCATCCATGTCATTGGAAGCTACCAAGTGAGTGAAACATATGCTCATCTCATGCGGCACCGACTGCTTGTCTTGGCCTTCATGGCAGTATCGCTAACATGTCTCAGAGAACTGGCGATACTAATTTGGATGAGTTGCAGGTTTATGCAATGCCCGTCTTCGACAGCATCGAGAGCATACTGATCACAAGATTGAAACTTCCGCCTGGAATTGCTCTGCGTCTGATCGCTCGATCTGCTTACGTCGGTAAGAATAACAAGTCATAGTAAATATCATGAAAACTGCAGACCTAAAAGCATGTTCATTTTGCAGCCTTCACTCTCTTTGTTGGAGTCACATTTCCATTCTTCGCTGATCTCTTGGGGTTCTTTGGCGGATTTGGATTTACACCTACTTCCTACTTCGTGAGTCAAAACACTGTTCCTAATATAATTAATGCTTTGTTTGCCACATGAATCCTGAAACTTTGGTTACATTCTGAGCATTGTTCCAGCTACCCTGTGTGATATGGTTGGCAATCAAGAAGCCAAAGAGATTTAGCCTTCACTGGCTTGCTAATTGGGCAAGTAACTATTACTTGATTCTTTGTATTGTTATCTATAAAGAATCAGATGTGCAAAACCTGACACATGAGGATTTTTTTGCTGGTTCTTTCTGATAGGGCTGCATCATAGTTGGGGTGCTTATGATGTTTGCTTCGACAATGGGGGGCTTGAGGAACATTTTCGTAGATTCTTCCACCTACAGCTTTTACTCCTGAAGGAGATTATGTTTTGCTTATCTTGGGGAACTGTATCGATCTCTCATGTAAGATGAGTTGTGTGACTTCTTTTCTATGGTTGAATGCAAATGCTAGTCCTAGCCTTACAAGTTTTGTAGTTTACTCAATAAATTTGTGAGGCTTCCTTCCCAAGGTTGTGTTGAAGGAAGAGAAAGTGTATGGTCGATTAAATTTCCACTATTACTGGTAAACTTCAAGCGGACTTAGACCTGCATAGGATCTCCTGGATGCATTCGATGCACTAAACAGAATTCATTTGACTGTACAAGTTCGATCATGTGCATGAAACATTAAAAACATATATAAAATATAAAATCTCTAGACTGAGATCCCTTACATCAAAATAAAAGAATCTAAAAAAAATGATTAATGTTTAGAAAGTACTTGACTTTCTAACTCTGAATAGGATAAATAAGTTTTGTCAATCATGGCAACCATGAAAAATAACCACCACAAATTAAGAAAATTGATCTCATTCTTTTGGACTGATTAGGTAGTTTAGAAATATCAAATTTTATTTAAGTTGAAAAAATTTCCAAACATCTTTAATACTTTCTAGCAAAGTTGGACACTTGCAAACACAACAACAAGAAGCATATACCTTAATGACAGGTTAATCTGTTTATCGAAGAGAATGCCAAGAAAGCTCTCAACTACTGCTACCAAAACAACAGATAGCTCGTGCAAATAGTTATTTGCGAGAAAAACCTACAGCGTTAAACTCTCAGGGTCCTCAACAATCTTTGCAAATGTCTGTAGGAAGGCTGCCAAGTCAGCACCATAGATAATCCTGTGGTCAGCAGTTACATTCACCTGGAAAAGAAAAGGAGACAAATCTTAGAAAAATTCAAGCAATAAATTTGCCTTGCATTAAACACAAGTTATTTACTAGCATGCAAGGGTTATTTTAAATCAGCAAACTTAATTGCAGATGTGAGTTTATGGTCCCTTTTACGATCTCAGATAAGAAAGCAAGCTCAACAACCTTGTCTACATTGATGAGATTCTTATACAAGATATTGAGCTGAGAGCAACCGCAAAACAAAAGTCATAGATCAAATAATTAACCACAAAACCATAGACCACTGTAACATTGCATCTAATTCCAAAGAAATAGGCTTCACAAGATCCATTTGGTATGATATTTTTCATCAAGGTCATGCTGACTATATTATTAGGTTAACGACCTCTTGTCAGAAGTGGACCTGTGGTATGGCACATGAACCAAGCACAAGTAAATTTACCTCATTCTTACAAATTTCATACACAAGTAAATTTACCTCATCTTACAAATTTTGTACACAGAAACGAACCAAACTGAGGCATAGCATGAGAAGTTTTCACAAAATCAGTCAGCCCCTATCCCTCGTATATCCACCTATTAACATAGGTTCTTTCGGAAGGACAGAGTTCAATCTGTATCCACAATAGTCTTGGTCTGGCTGTGAAACTAATGGAAGTCCTAGTTACACAATAGTATCTGCAGGACAAGTACTGATCTATAAAAAACTGTATATCCTATACACCACAATACATACGTTCTTGATTGAGATCAGTCAATCGAACTGTAGTTGTTCGGTTAACTCTTGTTGGAATTTCTATCTTAAAGGGATTCTCAAAGTATTATCATCCATTTTTCACATAGTTATTTTGGGATATTGGTCTTCTGTTGTATATACAATTTGGGCTTTATTAGTCATTTATCTGAGACACAAATAAGACGACATAAAAGTTGTCTTTAAGAAATTTAATTGAGTTCAAAATGGGAGGAGAAAAATTGAGCCCTTATCTGCAATTTATATTATGCTAGCTATTTTGGGTCTGCATGTACAAAGTAATATGCTCAGTTAAATAAAAAACCATTCAAATTGTTATTTAACAAAATCCTTTTAAGTCTCCCTCGATATTTGATAAAGCTTGTACCCAACATTTTACATGAAAAGAAAACTTCCATGCAGAACTCAACTTTTAGGTTAGAATTAGTAAGACTACACAAATCACTGTGTGCAATAGGTTTTTTGTTTTTTTAAATTCTTCTCATAATTTTCCAATATCTTGTTTTCCTAAATTCCTTGACTAGAACTCTGATGAACCAAAGATAAGAAGTTGGATAAGCTAGCAGGAAATAGAAACTGAAACCATATTTCAAAGCCTTGTTGGTTGTAAGTTCTCTCAAAATGGTATAACAACTGGAAATGTTTAAATTTGTTTACCACAAGTGAGGAACACATATTGTAGTGCTCAGAGGAATAACCATTTCACGTGGAAGCTAAAAAAAAGTGAAATTGATTTTTTTTTTTTACCAACTTTGGCACAAATTGTAAAATTCTTTCGACCAACCAGTGCATATGGCCTGTGTTAAACTATCTGATAAATATAAGGCGAACATTAGTGTATCTTCAGAGTGCCAATCAGATTAAAAAGTTCTTAATTTATAAAATACACAAAGACAATGCAACTATTAGCATAAACCAGAGAAGCTAACAGCATTCAGGCAAGAATACCTATGACAGCAAAATGTTAACATACCAGCATTTTACTCTTAACAGAGAAGAAACCATCAGCATCAGCAACAACAGTGGGCTTTGAAGCTCCAACTGCCATAATAGCCCCCTTAACACAAATCAAACAAATTAAATGAGTCACTACAATTATAAAAAGCTGATATTCCAATCAGAAAATCAAGACTACATAACATACCTGACCAGGTGGAAGAATAGCATCAAATCTGTCCACCCCAAACATACCCAAATTGGAGACAGTAAATGTTCCTAGACAAAAAAGACCATCCACTTAGAAGAAAACCAAAACAAAAACACATTAAGCAAACCCTAGACAGACTTGATAAACATTTACCTGAACTGTACTCATTGGGTTGAAGCTGCTTAGCACGAGACTTCTTTAGCAGATCTTTCCATCTTTGAGAGAGCAAGTAAATATCCAACTGTACAGATAGAATTACTGATTAATTACAGACACAAACAAAAAAAGAGATATTGACCAGTGATCAATCTATATCTTTTTACAACCTTATCTGCATCCTGGAGAACAGGGGTTATCAGTCCGCCATCAATCGCCACAGCAACTGCAATGTTGATGCTCTCATTGTAAGTAAAACTCTTTCCATCCTTGCAGCTTGCATTCACAACTGGATGCTTTGCAAGTGCCATAGCTGCAGCCTTAGCCAATAGCACGGTCATGGTGACACCCTTGGGTTTGACCTGATAAAAATTCCAGGTAAGCAATTTAACAAAGTAATCTATAAATGTGTAACCCAACCTCTTCTCATAAATCATAATGAAAATCTCAATCCTACAAGATAATGAACGAATCTTGTAGCCGAATACAATTTTTAGATTAAAAAGTAAAAAAATTTGAAAAAAAAATAAAGACAGATAAAAGTATACCTTTTCATAGAGGGCATCAAGCGCATTAGTCGTCACAGGATATCCGACACGGAAAGTCGGCACCGAGAGGCTCTCCACCATGTTCTTTGACACAGCAGCCTGCATCGTGGTGAAGGGAACAACAGTGGAGCCAGGAATAGGAGGCAGAGCAGCCGCTGGAGCTTTGGCGCTTGTATCAGCACTTGGAGCCGGAGACTGAGGCACTGGAGTCACGGCAGGAGATGGAGAACTTACAGGCACCTTTGGCTGGATTCCAACCGCGGCCTCGATGTCGGAAGGGGTGATCCTTCCATAAGGCCCTGTCCCGACCACGGTCCCGATATCCACCTTGTGCTGTTTCGCGAGCTTCTTGGCAAAAGGCGTGGCCACGATCTTCCTCGGCCCCTCCGAAACAGCCACCGGAGTGGCTACCGGAGCCGGAGGCGGAGGTGGAGGAGAAGGGGCGGCAACGGAGGGAGGAGAAGGAGGGGATTGGGTCACGGGTGCGGGTTGAGACTGGGATTGAGACTGGGCCTGGGCCTTGGCGAGGGGGACCTCGTCCTCGGTCTCGGCAAGGAGGCCGATGGGGGCGCCGACGGGGGCCGACTCTCCAGCGGGGACGACGATGGCGGCAAGAATGCCATCATAGAAGGTCTCGACGTCCATGTCGGCCTTGTCGGACTCGACAACGACCACGCTCTCGCCCTTGGACAGGCGGTCACCCTCGGACTTCACCCAGGACACGATCTTGCCCTCCGTCATAGTGGAGCTCAGCGCCGGCATGAAGATCTCCCGGATCTTGGCGCTGATGGCGGGGATCCGTGCGGCACGGCGCCCTGCGCCGCCGCTGCTGCGGCGGACGAGGGGCAGGAGGACGCGGCGGGAGGGGGAGGAAAGGGAGGAGGAGAAGGACAGTAGCGGGCCTGCGCCGGCGACGGATGTGGTCGACGGAGACGCGGCCATTGGTGGTGGCGACGGCAAAGACGGGGTTCTACTTATTGTTGCTGTCGTTGCGGCCGAGGAACCGATTGGGTCGGTTGGACGCTTAAGAAGCGAGGCGGAGATGTCGAGGCCAAGTGGGAAGAGGCGCTCGGATAGGTTAGTTGTAGGAGTTAGTCCAACCGGACGCACCCTCACAGTGGTAATATCGCCACAGGCGGAGATGCATTCTAAGATACGTATGGCTTATTGAGAATGATAGATTTATTGGATTGAGCATAATTAACATTTTATTTAGCTATACGTAATGTTATCTGGCTCGTCATGTACGAAATCTTCAACAATAAGGTTGTGCCTTAAAAGAGTAAAATTGATTTATTTATTTGTGTAGTTATTTAGAGAAGCTCAATAATATATTTATTTGTGTAGTTATTTAGAGAAGCTCAATAGTTATTTGTGTGGCGAATGCAAAGATAAGTGAACATGGTTTGCAATATTTATTGATATTGTCTGTGTTCATGAACAGGATGCTTCCTTATATGATCAACAAATTTATTTTTATTTCTGATTTTGAAACCAAAAACACATTTCTAAAGCATCCTCTTTGTGACTTCTCAACTCTTTATCCCGACAAGAAGATTAATTTAAGTATTTTCCATTATTTCAAACAAAAAATAAAACCAGGAAACCTGTATTTTTCTAAATAAAAAAACACAACATACTAAACAAACAAAATATAAAACAAAGAATTTATCATGAGTTTTCAAATACCATACGACTAGATTCACCGTTACGACGATTAAAATATCCTAAGAGTAGGGATGAAATTAGTATGAATATGACTTAGATATTGGAGAAATCACATTAGTATCGACTCAATTAATGTATACAAGGGAACAAAATACCAATCAGATGCATGATTCAGTGACCATATTTTTGTAAAGATCTAAACCAGATATATAAAAGAAATACAACAGAATCAGAGTTTAGGCATGTATAGATGTTAATGTTATTTAGAAACTAATGCAGATCTGTCAATCATATTTCCAAGGTAGACAATTTTCAAAGTAAATGCAAAAAGAAAAAGAAACATGATGAAAGAATATAGTATACATAGAAAAATCAATCAAACAGTTTTTTCTTGCATTAATATAGGTAAACTTGGTACTTGTAGATATAATAAGATATTAGGACAAATTTAAACTCAAAACAACCTTTATCTGCATGTGTGTCCTAAAAATTTTAGATAGCCAGATTCAAATACTAATGCAAATATGCCAAGGATATACACCTTTTGCATAAGTATATCTGGCTCCATTTGCATACAAACACAAATTTACTGAGGAAAAGGAGTAGGCACTTGCATCTAAGCATTCAGGAAATCATGATAGGTACTACCACACCTCATCCAGTTTGTTAAAGCTCAACAATTGCTTGGCCCTTACCTCTCAATCATCCCCTAATACATTTGTGAATAGGCATTTCAATTGACCAATTAAAATGTTCATTAAGGTCACCCAAGAAGCCATGCTGCAGCATAATCATTAATATAGTTTTTTTAACTTCATTTGATGCTCATCATGATTTTTTTATCATTATCATTTTGATATAGAAAAGAACCACACATACGGGCGCGCACACCAATCTCTATCCAAGATGATGTTAAGCATATATCAGCAACTAGTGTTTATAGGAAAAAGGAAAACAAATAGTTCTATATTTACAACAAATCCCATAGCTAGTATCAATTTGCAAGGATTTCTGCAACTATCACCCCAGTGATGAAGATTCTAAAATCCCCCTTAAGCAGATTCACATCTCAGAAGACTAATAGAATGCCTATGGAGCTCTGGACTAGATAAGTACATCATATTAATCATTAACACATCAACCTCGCTACCATTCAAGCATCAGACCATGGTACCATGGAAAATTACACTAAACTCAGGTGTTGATATAACAAAATACTTAATATGACAGGTTTGTGGAAGAATCAAGTTAACAGATAACAATTTTACAACCTGACAAAAGTATAATTTCAAAGGTGACTCGCCACCAAGTCCACCAGTTTATAAATAATTGAATATTTAGTCCATTTCTTGCTCCTGAGCAACAAGAAAACTCTGGAACTTCAATATTAGACGAACGAATGCAATGGCCCAGCTCATTCATATGATAAAATGAAGTAAATACAGGAACATAAAAAAGAAGCAGAAATTGTTGTGGATCACAAAATGTCAAGTCTATCATTACATGAGTGGACCTACTCAATAAGAGTAAAGAAAATACAGGAAAAGAGCCACTAATATGAATGTATGTTCATGAAGGAAATCAAAACTGTCTTCAACACATAAAAGTCATGAAATTTAATCTAAGAAGAGTTTAATACAAACTCCACAGCCATTCACAAATTACTGGCAGGTTAACAACTTAGTTAAATATTTATATCAACAATTTTATCTGAATGCTCGATGCAAAGAGACTTAAACGCTTGGTTAAGAACATAACAAACATGCAGATATATGAAAGGAAATTAAGAATATTCACAAATTACTGGTGGGTTTACAACTTTGATGAATATTTATATCAACAATTTTATCTGAATGGTCGATGCCAAGAGACTTATATGCTTGGTTAAGAACATAACAAACATGCAGATACATGAAAGGAAATTAAGAATAACATATCAAGAACTTCTGATGAATCAAAACAAAAACAATCACAAAGATCATCAAAACTCATAGCATGAGAAAACATAGCACTTCAAAAAAAAGTATCCAAAATGGAAATATATTGATGCAATAACTCTACATAATATAAACATTACAGAACTTTAAGAAATAGCCACATTCCAAACCCCATCAATTATGCATATAATATGCAATTATACACAAGAAACAAATCTAGAGTTATCAGAGTTCTCACCCAAGATAAAAGAACTACCAAGTAAAAAAGATGATCAAGTAACTCTAGGCACCAAACTCAAACCAAAAGCAAATTCTGCCCAAATCCCTGACATCGATCAACAATTTATGCATTTTCATTTATCAGAAAAAATAAGTTTATTCATTCGACTCCAAACTTCTCTGCACCAGTACGAATCCAAAAGTATCACATTCACAGGACATGACCAACAACTATAATTGCTAAACATTAAGGTACTTATACCACAGAAAACAACAGGCATCTGTAAACAAAAGCACAAGCAACCATCAATGATAAAACCTACTTCTTATAGGAAATTATTGCAAAAAGAAGAGCGAAAAAGAAGGGGCGACAGTGACGGTCAGACTACTTGTAGCGAGCCACCTCGTCATCGTTGGGGAAGAAACCCATGAGGCGGCCGGCGGAATTCTGGTAAGCGTACATAAAGCCTCCCAAGACGCCAATGAGGCCGCCAGTCACCGTGGACGGGCCTCGGACGTTGGGTTTGATCCCTGCAACCAGATCAACAACGTCACCACCACCGATGAGGAGGAATAATCCTAGACATTAAGAGAATGTAGAATAAAAAGACGAGGAGAAGGAGGAAATGGAGGGTGTACCGGAGAGGTAGCCGACGGTGACGGAGACTCCAGTTATGGTGAGAAGGCGGAGGTAGTCGAGGGTGTTGAAGTTGGCCACGGTCTTGGTGAAGGGAGGGTTCCGGTCGACCACCGGATACTCCGGCTTCACCGCAGCCGCCGTATCCGTGTTCATCTCCCTAGGCCTGCGAGCGCCTCCTCTCGCGGCCCCTCCACTTTGACATCATAAAGGGCTCGTCGTGGACCGGTTGGACCGATTGGGCCGGTTCATCCGGGTTGGGTGAGATTCGTTTTAATAAAATTGCATACAGCTTCAAAATTAGTAATTCAATTTTTATACCCCATCTAAACATTATTTTAGTATATTTAATCCTGGAATTTTCACAAAAAATATATTGAGGTTAATCTTCCCGATTTGCCATCAATGACATTGACTTTTAAAAATTTTAAATACATATTTATCCTAAATTAATAGTCTTTGTGTTTTGCCCTTTAAACTTAAATTTAGGAAATGAAAAGTCAAATAGTCAACCAAAGTGTAAAGGATGTTCTAAATATTCAATGTATTTTTATTTTTTTTAAATTATTAATAAACATGATTAGAGTAATTAACCTATTGAATGACATAATCTGAAATTTTAAACATTTAATATATATATATATATATATATATATATATGCTATTTTTGGAACTTAAAAAGTATATATTTATTAAAAATGCATATATATATATATTTATATTTATATACGTGTTTTTTCGTAGACCTAATTCACTATTTTACGATAAAATAAAAGATGCATTTAGATCTCTCTTGGGCCAACCAATAAAAGCGCAAGATATATAACAGGCCTAAACTGGTCTTTCACTGGGTTGGCTAAAAGAACGCGCTTTGAAAGACACGTCCACGCCTTTTTCTTGCCGTTGGCCGTCGTATCAAACAGAAACTGCAGTCCCCAGTCACAGTCGCTTCAAATTTCTATAATTTCCGCTCCGTTGCTGGTCACACACCGACCGATCCCCAACCCTAAAGTACCTTGCGACGACTCTCCGACGATCTCCGAGTCCCTTTCCTTACCTCCTCTTTCCGTTCCCTTCTCCAAGGCAATCTCAATCAAAGCTGCGGCCCTCTTTAATCACGGCCCCATTCGAGGATGAGCAGGTCTGCTCTCCGCCTAAGCGATCATCTCGATAACGCGCCTTTTTTCGTTGTTCGTCTGCTGCGAACAATTTGCATTTCATATTTTTGTCCGAATAGCTTTAAAAGTTAATTTTTGGTGTTTATTCTCTTGAACGACTATCTTTGTCGGGGTTTCTTGGTTTCTGTTCCTAGTAAGCTCGGAGAAGAATCATTTTTGATCCGGATGTCATTGATAGTGTCTGAAGATTCATTAAGCTTCTTTATTGAGACTTCCTGGTCTTTGTTTTCCCGAGCACCGTGTATGAAGCCCTAGAAGAATACTTTTCATTTTGATGTCATTGTTGGTGTCTGAGAAGATCCACTTATTTTGTTTCTTCTCGTTGTGGTAAAATTCTCGACAGTTGTTGCCTACAAGAATGATGCATCGTAGCAACTGATTTAGAAGATCTAGCTTTTACTTGACTTCATTTAATTAAATCCTAATATGGGTCATGTAAACTTGTTGTCCCACTTCGCTTGTTGCTTGCCTCACTGGTT